CTAATGTAGTAGCCGATGCGTTGAGTCGCAAGAGAATGAAGCCACCTGGGAATGAGAGGAAGATCTACGGAAGGACCACCCAGACCTATTTTCTAGCCAACCCGAATCTCGAGGGCGAGATTCATCTTAAGGGGGGTAGGTTTGTAACATCCTAATTTTCAATTTGGAATGTTATACATAGGTAATCATATGCATATCATATTTTAATTGCATTTTGGTTTGATCCTAGAAATTCTAAGCAACTCAAGGACCCACGGAGAGAGTTGGGGATTTCATTTATTTTCATATTTAAATTTTCTCAAATTTGAAAAGAGGATCATTTTGGTTTTAATAATTTTCTCTCCAAAAATATTTCCAAAATAAAAATAAAAGAGAGGAGATAAAATGACTTCTCCAAAATAAAATAAATATTGGAGGAAATGTTAAAATCAAATAAATGTTTTTATTTGGATTTTATTGCTATTTTATTTGATTTAGAAAAGTATGCATTTTCAAAATTGCATTTTTAGGCCAGAAAAATGTTCACTTTGTTCTAAATATTTTATTTAGACGGTGAAAATTGTTTTTGGCATTTCTAGAAAAAAAAAATATTTTATTAGGATTTTCTGTTCGGGCGAATTTATTTTAATAAAAAGTTTCCCCGCTCGACTGGGCCGAAACCCAACCGAGCAGGCCGGCCCAGCCGCAGCCATCGCCTCCCCGTGCCCGAGCCGAACTCCGACGGGAGTCCGGGACTGCGCCGCCGCTGCCACTTGGCCCCTTGGCCAAGTCGGACCGCTCCGCCCCCACCTATAAGTACCCCACCCCACCGCCACCTCTCCACCCCATCCCAACCGCCGCCACAGCCAACCACCGTCGCTGCTGCTGCCCGCGCCGCCGCCCGCCGCTGCCGCTGCATTGCGCCGTCACCCGCGGAGCCCCGCCGCCTTGCCGCTCGCCGCCTCGCCTCGCCGGATCCCGACGCCGCTGGTTTTTGTCCGCGAACCGGTACGAACCGGACCCGATTTTTTTAGGTTTTTCCGATTTATTTCTTTAGATCAGGTTTTCATCGGTTATTTTTTTTACTTAGCGGACGTTCGTCCGTTCGTTCATTTTAACGAACGTCGTTCACCAGTTAGGTTCAGACAGCGAATGTTTGTTCGTTAGTCTGTTCGTTTCGGTATTTTCCCAGGGATTTATCTATGATTATTTTTTATCGCGATTCTGCCCTGATCTTCAAACTAGTATAACTTTCTACTCGTTTATCCAAATTAGATGAAACCATGGCCTAAATCTTTGTCTCGAAGCCCTCTTTCTGTTTAACTAACTTGAACATGATTTTGGTACTGTAAAATATGACTTTAGTCCAGATTAGTAAACGATCTTGTTTCGTTCGTATCTTGAGTTTCATTGCTCCGTTTGAGTTGATTCTTTTTGCACATTGAAGCTCTTCAGTTGAACTTTCTGTTTGGATCTTCTTGTTTGAGTTTACCCGTGCATCTATGCTGGAGTGCTTATGTATGCTATTATTTGTTTGCGATAGAACTCTCAGAGTGTGAAGCGTGCTACTACGAGTCTCTAGGGTTTGCAGATCGTCAGTAGGGCAACTAACACTTTGATCATATATCCCTTTATTACCCAGTTTTTATGCATTAGTTCCAATCCTCAAACATTGCATGGTTAGGATCTGAATACCATGTGGATTTGGGAAGTAGATGATGAGGTAGAACCTAGTACCCGTGTGATCATCCTACGGTTCGCCACCCAAACTTAAAGGGATCATAAGATTATTCATGCTAGAAACTTCCGTGTGCAGTAACAAGCTATTATGGGCTCTAGCATAGTTGAGTATGTTGCATGACCTCTTTCAGTGGTGGTCTAGCAGATGTAGGGGAAAGTAGGTGTAACTGTCCACCCAGAGTAAAGAGTTAATGTTTCTGAAAGACTGTGTCTTGGCCATCCGTTTCTCAAACACCATGTAGTGCGAGAAATTCAACGGAGAGATAAAGTCTTGTGGGGAAAAGTGCGCAAATCTCTGCAGAGTGTACAAACTAATCATGGTTAGCCGTGTCCCCGGTTATGGACATCTTGAGTATCTGGTTCTTGGATTATCATGTTGATCTCATCACTCTAAATTAATTTGTTGGGTTAATTGATATATTTTTAATTAGGATTGAGTTGGAGGAACCTTCTCAATGTTTAACAACCACCATGATAGTTAAATAAAATTTATTCCTTTGTTGTAGGGAAAAATTGGCTTTATACAAAACCATTAACCATAGAGCTTTCCACCAGCCATATATGCATGTAGTGATAGCATTTATTCTATTTATTGTTTTCTTGTGTTACATTGCCAACATATTCCATGTGCTGACCGGTTTCGGGCTGCAACATATCATGTTGCAGACTTTTCAAACGACGAGTAAGGTGCGCTAGGTCGTTGTCGTTCACTCAGTTATGCCGTTGGAGTTGATGGACTCACTTTATCTTCCAAGCCTTCCGCTGTTATCTTACTTAGATGGCCTTAAGCCATATTATTGTAATAAGTTCTCTTTTGAGACATTTCGATGTAATAAGTGTGTGATTGAAACTCTATTATAAATCCTCGAATATTGTGCCTGTTAGCATTACCGATCCAGGGATGACACTGATGCACAGAGACTTGACCGTTTGAGGTCTGGTCGCTACATTAGATAACCCTATTGGGTTTTGGTGATTAACGACAAAACAATGGAGAGGACTGGTATTTATGAAGTTTTATTTCAGTAATTTAGTACCCATGAATATTGGGGATATCATTTGTGTCCCCTACCTCCAACTTTTGAGGATGGTGTCTACCTCAAACTTTAGATTTGTAATTTATGGCCTTTAGTGAATCCAAGATTACCATTGAGTATAGGACAACTGTACTATCAAGAGGGGCACAAGCTAAGGTATTTTGGTATGAACTCCATGAAAGATCCCCAAGCCAAAGATCTCAAAGTATCCACTTTAGCCGCTCCACATTTGAGATTTTTGACGGACCTGGTACCGCCATGTTTTTCTTAACCGATACTACCAAGCTTGTTTGAGTGTGTTAACTGTAACACCCCCTTCCCGTAAAAAACCCAGAGTAATACCCCTAATTAGAAGTTTTTTTTCATCACCATCATATTGCATTTCGTCCATGATTATATTGGTTATTTTATTAAACCTAACCCCTATTTCTTTCGTCATTTTGTTGAATGGTGAATAAGTAAAGCAATTTTCCCTTTTAGTGTTCTAGCCCGACGGACACTCACCCCCACATCTGGCATGCGACCTTTTTGTGATATCTGGGAGCTACCCAGATTATTTCACAATTTTACTACAAGCATAAGAACCACCCCTAGCTCAACCCACATGTGTATTATTAAATACTACCTGCATTTTTTTCTTTGCCCAATTTTTCTGAATCTTTTCTGTTGGTTTGGACATATTCTAGTAAAGCCCTACAAAAGGTTTTAGAAAAATGTAAAATCTTAAAATCTTTTAGCCCTCATTCTTTTCCAACCAGTACTTTCTCATTTTCGTAAAAGAAAGAAAAAGGAAATATGCAACACAACTGCACAGCCCACATCCCACCCCAGTTAATTGTCACACCACTTTCTTTCCCTTCCTCGCACAACTCACCTATGTGTGCACCAGCCCAAGTCCACCAACTCCTTTGTGTTCCTCCCAGGGAGGCAAGCAAGGTGCGTGACCTCCTCTTCCCCGTGTCGTCACCAACGAGAAGAGCACCGCGCCCACACCACTCCCCCCTTAAGGCCGCCTCACCAACCCTAGCCTCCAAACCCTGCAGTCCCTCCCCCTCCTCCCGTCGCCACCATCTCCTTTCTCTCTCTCTCTCTCAAAACCCTTGTTTTGTTAAAACGTCTTCGATGTAGACCAAAAGACGCCTATGGCAGTAATCTGCATAATAAGAAACCGCCCCAAGAAAAAAAGAGTCAAAGAGGGCCTATAAATACTCTAAAGACCACAAGTGTCGACTGAATTCAGGCGGATCCACCGGAGACTGACAATGGAAAGATCCAGGTATATGCCAGAGACACGCCTCCACACGCCATAAGCCATGCTCGACGCGGCGACTGAAACTTCGCGTTATTACACTGATACCACAACCAAGTCACACAAAATCTCCACCCATATATGAAATAATCCAGAGTCCAGACAACGCAAACACTACCTTCTAGGTTCAACACCAACAATAGCGAGAGCTGCAGCATCGAAGGAAGATCTGTAGGAACCTTATGCAACCACTACTGCTACCTCCGTAGCCAAAGCCATGAACAACAAAAGACCCTAATTAATAAAACCTAAACTATAGACGGACAAGGGGCAAGTCCCGGGGTCCACCTTCCTACCACCATTGCCGGAGCCGCCGATGAGGGTGAGGCCAGATCACCCTCTCTCTTTTCTCCGGCCGTGGCGACTAGGTTAGAATTAATGTAGTCCATTTTCACCATTTTACATGTGGCTGTGGCAGCTAGGTTTAAATTTTTAACTTTTGAAAACTTCAACATTTATTAATTAAGCAAAGGTTACACGGAGTCCTTGGGATAATTCCGGTATAAGGCTTGGCTAACAATGAACGACTACATTACAATATCGATGCACATGCTTGAAGACACCGAAATGAAGATGATGGACACAAACCTGGTGTCACGTTTAGATGAGGAAACTGGAGACGTTTTTCTTTTTCTTTTTGAAGGAATTTTTGAAACACTAGTTGATTGGGGACGTCGGATCAACCACAGACAATCGAAGGCAAATGCCACTAGTTGATTGAGTGACGGGAAGACGGGACCCACTCAAAAGATCCACGCCAAACACCCACCGCGCACGAACGAACACGACGGCCGTTCCCCCCCGACGCCGATGTCCGCCGCATCCGCCCTCGCCGCCGCTCCTCCTCCGGCTGAACCTAGCTGAAGTCCGGTCAGCGCCACTCCTTTACCCCGCCGATTTCCCCACTCCGCCTCCGCCGCTATTCCACCGCGCCGATGTCTCGCCTCCGCCTCCTCCGCCGCAGCTCCTCCTCCACCACACTGATACCCCTCCTCCGGCTCCTCCGCCGCTGCTCCACCTCCACCTCCACGTCGCCGCCCTCACGCTCCTGGTCTCCCCGAGACGCCTTTGTTGCGGCCATAGAGCGTGTTCGCGCCAGGACGCTCAGCCCGGAAGACGCTCACCACCTGTTCGACGATTTGCTCGGTCAGGCCACCCCGGTCCCCGTGCGCACCCTGAACGGCTTCTTTGCCGTCCTCGCCCGTGCCACGTCCTCTGCCGCCCGCATCCGAGATGGCCCCGCCCTTGCCGTCGCTCTCTTCAACCGCGTGTGCCAAGAAGAGGCCGGTCCGCGTGTGGCGACGCCCACAGTCCACACCTATGGCATCCTCATGGACTGCTGCTGCCGCGCGCGTCGCCCGGACCTAGGGCTCGCCTTATTCGGCCGCTTCCTCGGGACAGGCCTGAGGACAAACGAGATCGTCGCCACCACCTTCCTCAAGTGCCTCTGCTGCGCGAAACGGACAGAAGAGGTTGTGAAAGTACTGCTTCACAGAATGCCCGAGCTGGGCTGTGTGCCTAATGCCATCTCGTACTCCATAGTTTTGAAAAGCTTGTGTGAAAATAGCATGAGTCAGCAGGCACTCGACCTGCTCCAGATGGTAGGGAAAGAAGGAGGCTGCCTTCGTGATGTGGTGGCATATAACACAATCATCCATGGCTTCTTTAAGGAGTGCGGAATAGACAAGGCATGCCATCTATTCCATGAAATGATGCGGCAAGGGGTTGTGCCGACTGTGGTGACATACAACACAGTAATTGATGTGTTGTGCAAGGCCGGAGAAATGGACAAGGCAGAGCTAGTCTTTCAGCGGATGGCTCGTAATGGTGCGCAGCCCAATAAAGTGACATGTAATGGCAGTAAATTTAGTTCACTGACTGACGGATATTGCTCAGTCGGCAAGATGGATAAAACATTCAAACTGCTTGATGCCATGGTATCAGCTGGAATTGAGCCTGATGCTGTTACTTATAGTGCACTTCTTGATGGCTATTTTAAAAATGGAAGGATCGATGATGGTTTGACTCTATTTAGAGAAATGCCGTGCAAGGGAGTTAAACCAACAACTGTGACATATGGCATCATACTGGATGGTTTATATCGTGCTGGGAGAACTGCTGCTGCCAAGAAAATGTTTGATCAGATGATCAAAAGTGGAATAACAGTGACCGTTTCCATATACACTACTCCCTCCTTTCCGGTTTATAAGGCATATTTCAACTTTTTTGTTTTTCCAATTTAAAGGGCTTATCTCCATCTCATTTTTAGTTTTCGAGGCGCATTAAATCTTTGCATGCAAGAATTAAAAAGGAACACACCAATGCATGTAATGTTCCTACTCATCTAGTGGCCAAGCATGCATGCACTACAATTAATCCAAATTAATGCAAGAGTTTAATTTGAGTGGTTTTGTAAAGTACGAGATAGATTCCTCCACTCACAAAATGCCTTGGTTGATGAGATTTCAGATTTGAGCCCTAAAAACCGGAAAGGAGGGAGTATAATTCTTAGAGGACTTTGTAAAAATAATTGCGCTGGCGAAGCAGTCACCATGTTCCAGGAATTAGGTGCAATGAATGTGAAGTTCGATATTATAACACTCAATACCATGATTAATGCCATGTACAAGGTTCAGAGAAGAGAAGAAGCTAAAGGTTTGTTTGCTGCAATATCAGCCAGTGGGTTGGTGCCTGATGCTTATACTTACAACGTAATGATAAACAATCTTCTAAAAGAAGGATCAGTGGAAGAAGTTGACAATATGTTTTCATTGATGGAGAAGAGTGGTTGTGCTCCCAGCTCTCATCTTGTAAATGATATCACCAGAAGGTTGTTGGGAAAAGGTGAGATTGCCAAGGCTGGAAATTATTTGTCTAAAGTTGATGGGAAGATCATCTCACTTGAAGATTCAACCACTTCATTGTTGTCGTCTCTTTTTTCAAGCAAAGGGAAATATCGGGAGAACATCAAGTTACTTCCTGCAAATTATCACGTTTTAGATGGATTTAGTCGCATTGCACATGAGAATAACTCCTAAGAAAGCACGGTTCAACTCTTTTCTTGCCATAAGGCCCTCCTGCTAGTACAAGATATCTTAGTGGCCTGCTTTGTACCTTCAATATTTCATTGAGTTCATTTTGTGATGTGTCAAAGTCACAAGAATGTGTAATGTCTATAAATCTTTTGATCTTCGATGGGCAAGGAAAGGTAGACCAAGTAGTCTAATTCCATTGGTGGTATGAGGTAATGACTTCGTAAGAATTTTTGGGGTAATGACTTCTGATGCTATTTGGGAAGGTATACAATCTTTTCTACCAGACACCTGAGATTTTATCCCTTTGAAACAGTCACTTTCCTTCGTAAGAATGCATTTTTAGCAATGTCATTCTCAGTGGTCTGCTGTGCATGCGAGGGTGGATTTACTCTTAATTTGAAAATTATATTTTCTATGTCAGGAAAAACGGGTTCTTGAAGAATGTATGTCTGAGGTTGCTGATGCTATGTTGAGTTAGCAGATATATGAGCTCATGCCAGAGTCTCCTGTACTCTATGCTGTCAGTTCCACTGGTGGAGCTTGTTACATACAGGTGAGAAAATTATTTCCAGTTTGATTTCTATCTGCTTTACTACTTCACTGAAGATTCAACTAATTTTCCCCATGATGTAGGTAAAGGTATGGCCAAGAATTCACCGGTGTGTGCTTTCTGATTCAATCTGCTGGATGCCAACACCACCTCGGGTCCTGCACTTTCATGGGGATGAGGTGCCACCGCCAGCCTTGCATTGATGCACTGCACTTACTTCCCCTCTTCAGGTACGCGCTCACAGCAAGTTCTACCTCCAGTTCCTCCACCATACCCATCCTTCTTCAGGCCCCTCCTCTTCTTTGGATCTCAGTTTTTTTTTTACCTTGTGCTATCGGAAAATAGTTGGAGGCGAACCGTTCTTATGTTCTTGCCCAATCTTGGATGAGCATTGTCACTTAGATGTAAACTGAGTTTGCATGGAATTGTGGTGGATTAGAGGGCCCTGGAAAAGGCTTCATTCTTGTATGTTACTGAAAGTTTGGTTGCCTAGACAACTGGGTTCAGTCGCATAGTTGTATGCAGCCTATACAAGTTTGGATTCAACCATTATGTACCAGAATTTTAGTTTATCAATCATTTAGTTCTGCCCATGGTTATGCAAGAAACGTCTTTATGCTGTTATCTGTTGCTACTGTTCATAGTGTTCAGCTTTAAGCTGCATTAAAACAGTAGTAATCCCACAATGCTCAGAAATAGCTGCTGAAGAAATACGATAACAGCCAGGTTTCTGTTGCTAACTAACTCGTATTTAGCAACTAATTGTACATCTGCCATGTTTGCTAGTTTTAGAGGTGTACATAGTAGTAATTCAAATTGTCGAGTGCGATGAGGTAGCTAACTTCATACAACTCTCTCTCTCTCTCTCTGGCTGACAAAAAATATATTTATTTCCAGAATGCTTGGATTCACTTCATGGGAAATTTTTTTGTGGGGTGGGGTGGGGGGGGGGGGGATGAGGTGTTAAGGCCATGGCGCCAATGGAATGGGAGGAG